AGCCTCAGTGTTCTATTAAACCAGGACCAGAATGATCAGTAATGTGCAGGTAAAACCCTGCAGCAGAGCCTGACAAAAAGCCAGCTTGCAACAAGGCAAAAGCTCCCCTAGCTTAGGGCATTAAGCGGATATTCCATATCCTCTGGAATAACCATAGGGATATTCGTGGCTGCATCCTCTATTCCTTGCCTGACCCACAGCCCAGGGCAAACAGGGCATCTCCTAGAGGCACAGGCAGCGGTCTTTGGCAGACCCCAATCATGTAAAGCTAAAGTGCAGGTTCCCAGTGCATCCTGATTTATGGAACAGAACTTCACAACTCACACAGAGTTATAAAGCAGGTGTGCTTTAAAAAACACAGCTATCAGAATGAGAATGGGAAATCTCCATCCCAGACCTGGGATCAACACTGGCAAAGTTGCACCACGAAGTAACAAGCTGCAAGAAAGAGATGGGAGACAGAATTGCATCTTCTTATGGCACAACCATCTCTACCAGATTAGGTAATGATGGTTTGCTCTTGCAACCAAACAAGCAAGTGAAAATATGTCAAATCTGCAGCTTTATGGTATATATTGTTCATTCCTTGTTATATTTCTCAACTAACCCACCTTGTCATGGAGCTGCACTAAGGAATCTCAGCTGCCTTCTCTGAGCCACTCCAAGGGGAATGAGGGGAGGTGGATACCTCACTCCCAACTTCAGCTCCTCAGCATCCTTCCAACTTCTGATGGGGATATATCCCCTGGCTTTTTACCCATTCTTATTATCTAAAGCATAATAATCCTTCAGCTTTGCCATTCACACTGCAAAATCCCCTCATCATCCTGCAATATCAAAGACGTGATCTGGGGATCTCACTAATGCAAAGAAATCCTTGGAGACTCACCACTCTCGGTGCACAGGGTTATGACAAGCACGACAAGAAGAGAAGTCTTCATCCTTTATAGGTGTCGCAGCCTCCAAAACAAGCAGGTCTCACGCAAAGCAGGTTTTATACCTCTGCAGTGCTTGCTTTGATGCGGGGATAATAAATATAGGGTTGCTGTGTCAGATGATGGATAATTGAGAGGAGCGTGTCAGCACTTGTATGTGGAAGTATGTAAATCTGAACAGGCAAATGCTCTCCCCCCTTGTTTTTTCCCTACTTGTTTCACAATGCAGCTTGTTCATCTGATGCTAACTATGCACCAGTTTCTAATTCTGGAGAAGTGGAGGAAAAGCAAAGCACAGAAACAAAACAGTGTCCACGTGAGAAGAGGAATGTTTCCCTTTCCAGGCCTGCCTGGGTCTCAAAGCAAGCTGCATCCGGAAGGATCCTATCGTCACACGCTGTTTTAGTTCATATGGAAATGGATTGAATTTGAAATTGGGATTGAAACAGCTACCGAATGTCTCCCAGGATTGTCAACACAGCTAGATCAGAAGAGAGTATTCTACTGCTTCTCATAGGGGAACAGGCATCACTTTCTATGGATATTTTAAGAAAGCAATTCAAAATCGTAAATGTTCCTGTTAAAACATTGGATATTTTATGGATATATTCCCATATGAGGGAAAATGTTTTCTTATTAGAAAATCATTTGCCTGAGCAAGGAAAATGACCACTTCAATTAAAAAATAGAAATAACAAAATAACACCCACTCCCATCATATTGAACAAGCTGGGATTTCTATCTCACAAATTACGAAGAAAGAAATGTCAGGGACAAGAACCCAAACCAGTTAAAGCATGGAGAATGAAGGGTTAGAATCATAGAATCATGGAATGGTTTGGGTTGGAAAGGACTTTAAGATCATCCAGTTCCAACACCCTGCCATGGGCAGGGACGTCTCACAGGAGACCATGTCACCTAAGGCTCTGTCCAACCTGGCCTTGAACACTGCCAGGAATGGAGCATTTACCACTTCTTGGGTTTCTGAGTTGCCTGGCAAGGATCTGAACTCATTAAGTCTTCAGAGAAAGAAGTTATAGCCAAAACCATGTGAAATGCCAAATAGGAACATTCCACTGGATTTCCACACGGTGCTCTTTATTCCTCCTTTTTTATCTTGTTTCATCCTATCTCTCTGCATAAAACCAGAATCTTTCCCATTTTCTCCTGGTTGCTCTTGCTTTTTCCTCCCACCATTGCCTTTCTGCTATCTGACTGTGGGGACGGAGGAACAGTCCCAGAAATGGTCCATCTGGATCCCTTTCACATGACACTCATAGCTGCAGGAGCAACCTGAATGCCCCAAACCTCTGCCAGGGACTCTGCCCCATGCTGCTCTCCATCTGTTTCATTTCCCTTTCTTTTTAGCCTCAAAGTTGCTCACATTTCCGTCTCCCATTCAATATTTTGGCCTCCACCTACAGTCATTATCTCATCCATAAGGCATGTTAGTTCTTGAGGTGATTAAGTCTTTCCAACACCTCTAAATTGGATGCATAAATACTGTTCGTATGGAGAACCTGCATGACTAAGGTGAGGAAATTTGTGCTTTCTCAATAGGTAGAGCATGAAACTCAGTTGGAACAGAGGTGGCAATTAACCAAGAAAGCTCAAAGGAGGGGCGTTGTTTGGCTTTGAAAGGCCAAAGCCTTTGTAAGGCACCAAGCAGGAGGAAAACAGAAGCTGGCACCTTCCATGCAATGCAACCCTCTCTTGCTTGTGTAATGTTTTGTTTTCCCCTCTCCAGAAGAGATTTCATGAGTCTTTATTAGTAAATCATCTTTTATTGCCTGCTACTTGAGGTACTAACAGGAAAGGGGGCTCTAGTGACACGGCGATGCCATTCTGCAGCCGTTGCACTGCAGAGGCAGCCCACATTCAGCTTTATTTCAGCCAACAGCATCCATTAACAGGTACAGAAATAGCAGCTCAGCCAGGCACTTGGGTTTTTTTTCCCTCCTCCCTCGTAGTCTCATCCAAGCAAAACCTAAAATATCTCTTGCCTCCTGCAAGCTGCTGAGATTTGGAGATGACAAGGCTCTATTTCTTAAAGGAGTTATTGCAGGATTTCTGACAGTTGAGATTTTCCATTACATGGTCCTGCACTCTTCCAGCTGGTCCCATGTGCCCCTCTGATAAAGTTATCTTCATCCCTCACCGGTGCCTGGTAAGAGAAACCTAAAAGAACACATAGGGTGGAAAGGATGCAGATGATTGGGACATTAAAGGGACTGAGGAAATAGAAGATAATATCAGGGTTTACAAGTATTTGGAAGTTACGAACGTCAGGAAGATTTGGGAAAGAGTAACAGGGGATTTAAGTGGAGGTGGAGAGTGTGGTGTAAAGATTTAATTCCTTGACACTCGCTGAGTGGAGAAGGAAGGGGAGTGTTTTACTCGTCTTGCTCTAACCCTGGCTGAAATTGTCATGTGAGAAGGGCAGATGATTTCTTTTGGTGTAAATATGTCATTTTCAAGCTGAATTTGAACAGTAATTATGAAAATCAGGGGGGTTTACTAAATGTGGATTTTCAGGTTGGCTAAATGCTTTGGGAATCATTTCAGAAATTGTTCTGATTAACAAATAAGAAAAAAAAAGGGAAAAGTGATTAAAAGTTAAGTGCAAAAAAAACCCCAAGTTTCTGCTGGTCCTTCAGAACAGAAATAGAATCACAGAATGGTTTAGGTTGCAAAGGACCTGAAGATCATCCAGCTCCAGCCCCCTACCATGGGCAGGGACACCTCACACTAGACCATGTCACCCAAGGCTCTGTCCAACCTGGCCTTGAATACTGCCAGGGATGGAGCATTCACCACATCTATAACACTACCATTCTTCAGTTAGCCCATTTTGTATTTAAATAAATACCAGAATACCGTTCTTACCAGAAATTAAATCTTTATAGGATGATTAAACCTAACAGCATCTTCACAGCCTTTGGCCAGTGCTACCGTTTATCCCCATTGCATAGAAGCACATGTGCTTTGAAGCCCGTCCTGAAAACTGATGGAGCAGGATTCCTCCTCAAATCCAGCTGGGCTGCAAATGTGAGGTGCCACTTCCATACAAGCCCTCCCAAAATGAAGAGCTGCACTTTAAGCTGCTCGATTAGGAATTACTCACCATCCATTTCCAAGTGTGCATGTATTTTGCCCATCTTACCTATAGGTTTGTTCCAAGAGCTGCAGGGGATCTCCACCCCGAGAGTTGCAGGGGATCTCCACCCCACGTCCTCCATCCCCAAGCTTAGAAAGACACCAGTGACAGAGGAATCATAGATTCAGAGAGCACCAGGTTGGAAGGGACCTCAAGGATCATCTGCGGCAACCTGTCTAGGCAAAGCATGACCTAGACTAGATGGCCCAGGACCTTGTCCAGATGAATCTAACAATGTCCAATGTTGGGGAGTCCATCACTTCCCTGGAGACATTATTCCAGTGACTGATAGTTCTCATTGTGATAAAATAAGGAAGGGAAGGAGCAGATAAGCCATCTACCTCTGCCAGGCTCTTTCAGCCCATTTTCCCTGTCCCTGTAGGGAAGTCATAAGCAATCACTCAGACAGTAACGCATTCTCCAAGCACAGTTCCTCTTTCCATGAGGACAGATTCCAGCAGCACCATCCTCATCTGAACTTGCACACCTCCAGCATGTTGGGGTGGGACTTTTACCTCTTTTAGACACCAAAATCACCCACCCATCCGAGAACTTTGCAGCACAGCCAGGAGCACACCCAATACCTGCCAAACCCCCAGTCCCGTGTGTTAGCAGTTACAAAACAATTCTTGCCGTTGCTTGCAATGGGAACAACACAATCATCTTTGACATTTCCAGATTGACAGCTTCATTCCTTAGCACTGAGTGATCGGGCAGAACATCTGGCTTTATGGAGTATCTGCCTTGAGCTGCTGGGTGCAACGGAGCCAAATGAGAAAGGCAGCCAGGAGAGGACTCCCAGGTGCTAAAAAGAAGAATTGAACGTGAAGTAGAGATTCAGACAAGAGCCCTTTCTGGTAGAGCTGTTTTCTCGGGCTGATCTTAGTGTGGATATAGCAAACACACTCTAGAATAACATAAATCTTTATTTTGCCTGGCGATTGTCACACACATGCTATCAAAAGAGCATTCCCAGGGAAAATCAGTATAAAACAACGTATGATAGCGAGGGGAAAACAGGAGCTACACTGCTGTGCCATTTCTGTGGATGGAATCTGAAGCAGTGCCTTGGAATAAGCAAGGTAGCATAGACCCTGTGGGAGACACTTGACAGAGGATGTTGGTTGGTACCGGGGAATACCTTGTAGGTTCTTGGGTTGCCACATCTTCTCCCACCCCTTATCACAATCCTGCCTTGATGACACAGATCAAACTAGCCACAGCTCCCAGCAACATCACGGCGTAGCTGATCTTGATGCTGTTGGCACCGCTGAAATTGCACAGGGAGGTACTACAGCATTTGGTGGAATAAGCTGCCACACCGAAGTTCACGTTTGTCTCAGGACAGTCTACAGAGCACTTCTTGGTGATGCGGTGTCCCATGTCCTTGCCTGGATGGGGAATAGGCAAGAAAGGAGAGCTGTGATTTAAGGTTCTTTAGCAAGAGCTGACCAGAGGATGATAGGAGGAGGTATATTGCACTATGCTTAATTGCAATGCTGTTAGTGCATGTGATGAGGGCTGGATGAGTATCCACACAGCCTGAATTAAATTCATGACACTAGAAACTCCTTGACAGAAATCCATACCCTGTTTCCTGTAGGACAGCAAAAAAATCCCTGCCAGGACATTTTTCCTTTTCTTTTGCTTTTCCTCCATGACAAAGCATGTGTTTGCAATAGGGTTTGCTCATGAAAATCTGTGTGCCACAGAGTGGTAAGAAATGGACCCCAGAGCATCAGTGAGGAATTCACTCACATGTTGTGATACTTCAGCCTCAGTGCTCCATTCTTTCCAACGAGACCAACTACTGCCCTAAAGAACTATTGCCCATCTGTCTCTGGAAGAACAATTTTGGAACTGCAAGCCATCCTGTTCCTGCTGTGTGGATAATTAAAGAAGAAGAAGAAGAATTGCTGATAACGCACCTGGGTCTTGAGCAAGCCAGGGAGTGTTTGTGTGCATTGGTGCAAGGTCGGGCTGGGAAACAGCCTGAGGAGTGATTGTTTATAGAATGGAATTTAGAGTGACTGAAGACAGTCACTGTGATGGATGTGGTCTCTGTTTGGCTTCATAGCTCAGACCCATATCTGTATGCTATGTCTTACCAAGCTGGAGTGAATAAAGTGGAACTAGTTGTGGAAGCACGGTGTGTGTGTGTGTGTATGTGTGTGTTTAGCCTCTTTCTTTACAGATGCCACAGACCAAGGAAACAAAAAGCCTTGACATGTTGCTGGTACTCACCAAAGCCAGCAGAGCTATATGTGGTTGTGCAGTATTTCTCATTGTCTTCACACTTGTAGGTTTTAAGACAGTTCCAGTTGGAGTGCTCGTTTTCACACGTGTAGCAAAACAGCGAGGAAACTGGAGACAAAGAATGCACATGGCACTTGTTAGTGGTTTCCAGCAACGTCCTCCTGGGAAGGAGGTGTCAAAAGCCATGTCCCTTCTTGGAAAATACAAGGTGAAAAGCATGTTACAAACAACTTTTTGTGACGAGTGAAATAAGACGTTGGTTTCGATTCGTGAAGCTGAAGAAGCCAAACGAACAGAGCAAGTTTTCTTTCTTTACTCAACGTTTGCAGTGATTAAAACTTGAAAACCCATTTTTCAGCCCGAGCAGCACTTCTTCCCTTCCTTCTCCCCTGGGTCCACGTTGACCTGGTTGAGAGCCAAGCTGCAAAAGCAGACCTGCCCTGCAAGGTCTAGTATGATTCTGACAAGGAGAGGATAGACACTGTTCTCAAGTAACAGCTTGGGTTTTGGTGTTATTCAGACAGCAAAACGCTGTAGAGACATGATCTAATTAAAGCCTATGACACCCCTGTGAGCTAAATCATTGAGCACAGAGCCACATTAAAGGGAGTTCCCTGGGAGAGATTGCTCTGGACAATAGAGAGATTATATTTCTACCAGTGCCTGGAAGGATGTGTTCTCAGTGATATTATTAGCAGGGCTGAGCCAGGCCTATTACAAAGCCAGAAGGAGGTAAGGCATGAGCAGCACTGAAGTGAATCGAGTCAAGCTTCCAAGCTAGGCAGTTGGCCATGCTGGAAGCACAGGCATGTGCCATCCTGTTCCCTGGATGTGGATTCACAATTGATGGGAGCTCTGTTCAGAGTCCCATGAAATGCTCCTTATTTCTGAGCAGGGGTGATAGATGCAGTTGAAGTGCTCTCAGGAAAACCTGTACCATTGTCATGAGCGGTGGAGAGCTCTAGGTTGATGGTGACCAAATTGCAAACCAAGGAGGATCCTCCTGAAATTATCCCTGTTTCAGTTCCTCTTGGTTTTCTCAATGCAGAAGCACTCTTATTTCTGCACAGACTAGCCCATTTTGGTTGAATTTGAACCTATTTTTAACACAGGAACTTCCCCCCCCCCCCGGAATTCTCCAAAGCGTAGCTGCTGTTGATTCAAATTCACCTCTGAAGTTGAACCTGCCCATACCACTTGGTTAGACAATTCCAGAAGCAGTTTTAAGTCATCTTAGGCTCAAACTACCCCAAGTAGGAGAAGAAAATGCCTCTCCTCTATGATATGGGGAGCTTGGGTGCCTTGGGTCCAGCTCAGATGCCTTGGGTGCACCTCTGAAGCCAGCTCTGGGTGCCTTAGCATATGACTGACCATCCTGCTCCGAAACCTACCCAGATGCTCTTTTCTAGTGCCAAGTATTGCAAGTGCACATGTTCTCTGCATCATCAGATAAAATCATCCTTGTTCCATCTTGTTTTTACCGTCTCTTTAACCATTCAACACTCGCTGTTTCTCCATCACATGGATAAATTAAACCTCTCACCTCTCCTCATGGTTCCCTAAACTGAGCTGTGAGCTACGTCCTTTCATAGCCCATGCCAGAGCTATCCCAGACACGCTGCCCAGCAAGAGTGATTGCATTTACAAACCCTGCGGTTCTCTCCGATCCGCTTTTCTGCCAAATCTCACAAAGTTCAAACCACTTCCTGCTGTAGAGGGAGCCGAGACCCCAGCATGTGAACAACAGCGACTGAAATGCACTCCTGATGCAAGGAAAATCCCTCCCAGTGAGGAAACAATAACAGCTTAAACCATTATAGATGTTACAAAGCCTTGTCTGCGTCTGGCCTCCACCCTCCATTAGCTCTAGTTTTGTGAAGGCAGCCAGGAATAGCTTTAACGGTGCAAAAAGGCTTGCAGTGCTCCTTGGGATTGTAAATACATGCACAGAGTCAATGTTTCTCAACTGGGTATTTCTACACTATGATCTAGTTATATCTGCATCTCCTTTTGAATGAGGAACGAGCTTTGAGGTTCCCATTGCAAACACCAGACACTTAGAAAAGCTCTTCAAACCTATGAACAAAGAGCTTTCAGGCTTCCAAATATCTGCCAACAGCCTGGCTTCTTAATTGCAATGTCACTGTGGGGAATAAAGTGCAATGCTGGCAGAGGATGCTGTGTCGATGCCAGCATTACCTTTATGAACAGCAACTCAAGTTTCATTCAGGAGCAAGAATAAAACCAAAGGCTCAAAACTGTGAGCCCAGCATAATTCCTAGTACAATCATTCAGTTGCCATGTCTGTCTTCAGATGTGAGTGGTCAGAGCTTGATATTTGAGGGTGTCAGAAACCGAAGCGGCGAGCTCATCTTCTGTGGTTATGGCTACATTAGCAGAACTCACCCAGAAGCTAACACTGAACCACACTAAATATCACTTCTGACACCAAAGAACTGTACTACTAACACCTCACCAAATGCAAGAAATGCTGTCCCTGTGTTATCCCTAACTCTTCTTCATCCTCTCCATCTAGGTCTTCCAGCCTCCACAGCTCCTTACCTTGCTCAGCACACAGGACTGCAGCCAGCAGGGCAATCAGAACAGCCTTCATGGTCGTTGTGCCCTCAGAGCCTGAACAATGTGGGATGGTGCACCACGGGATGGTTTTATACCAGGACCATGGTTACTCTAGCTTCCTTTGATTACAGTAATTTGAGGTTTGGGGAGTGACAGCACATGAGATGTGATCAGCAATGGGTGTGTTTGTGCGTAGGAACCTCTTACAAGACTCCAGATAGCTCTTTTCTTCCCCTACATTTAATTCAGATCCAATCTTTTTTTCATTCCAAGGCCTTCTCCTGCTGCCTATGTCTGCATTGCTGGTCTGGGGAGCAATTTATCTGATTCAAACATCAGAATCCCTTCTTATTTCATTGGGTTGAACTGCGAAACCTGAAGCAAAGCAGAGGGAGCTGTGCCAGGCTGGGCTGGCTCATTGCTTGCATAGCAGGCATCACCTGGCATCCTCCACCCTTTCTCTCTGCCATGATATAAGAGCTTCATAACTATGAGAAATGGGAGAGGAGGCAAAAAGGGTTTTTGCTGGATTGCCCACAATTATTCAGAATGACATGGTTTAGTGTGTGGTGTCCCTGCCCATGGCAGGGGGTTTGGAACTGGATGACCTTAAGGTCCTTTCCAAGCCAAACCAGTCTGTGATTTTATGATTCTATGATTATCTCACTTGTACTAAGGAAAGTGCTTTAAGTAGGAAACCAAATGGTATTGTTTCTGCAATGAAACAATATTTATGCCTGGAGACTGTCACTCAGAGGCTGCCATGGTCCAGGCAGGGGTATGGCCTGATGCTCTTGTTTTGTTCTGTTCCTCCATCCTCCAGAAGCATCCAGTGTTTCCAAGCGACAGTGTTTGTTGTTACCTGTAGACCAACACTGGACTCTGTCAGGTTTTTCCAGTCCCTTGTGACGTTTCCAGTCCTTCTGGGATCCCTTTCTGCTCCCACAACCACCTCTTGCCAAATGATTCAGGATGCAGCAGTATTCACATGGGAATGGCTGCAGGAGTTCCACTATGAATGGGAGGGAAGATCACTGAGAAATAAAACAAGTCAAGAAGACATCTCAGCAGACCAGAACTCTTCTTCTTTAAAGAGAGCAATGACCGAGGGGTGCTTAAAGTCAACACCTGTAAGGTCACAAATGATATGGAAACAGCATAAAGAACATCCAGTTGAGGTTTGGTTTCCCCAAGGAGTTGGTTCATAAGCCCTTCCTTTGACCACTTGTCTGCAAGATGCTGAGCAGATGGCCCCGTGCTCAACCCATGTGATGAGTCTTCTGCTTCCAGTCATTCTTCCTTTGACCAGGTCCTCCTTTTCTACAGCAGCTTCATCCCCCAGTGGTTTCTGTCTGTGCCTGTGCTCAGAGCAGGATGAAGGGGGTGAGCATCCAGCTTTCAGGGCCTTTTCTGTTCTCTGATTTGCCCTGATCTTGAGCATGGATCTTTAATTTATCTCCCCTTTTAGCAGGGGAAGACCCACGTGACAACTGATGTAGCATCTATACTTGGGAAATAATCTGTGGAAAAGCCATGCTTTCCAAACAAGACGTTGCACAAATACGCGCATGAATGTCATCAGGCAGGAAACACGATCTGCTGGAGCATGCAGGGATATAGTAGGTATTAGCCTGTGTGTTTGTTTTAGGTATAATAGCCAGGCTTCTCTCAGCCGGCTGGAGAAATGGAAAACAAATCTTCCTTCCCTTCCATCCACATCAGAAATCCAGACAGGAAACTGAATTATCACCCTGAATTCAGCTCATCTTGGAGCCAACCGAGCAGCAAAATGCAGCTCTTCAGCAGGAAGGGAAGGAGCAACTCATGAACGCAGCCCACAAGGAGGAAGAAGAAAGGCTTGGAAATCCAAACACATAAAGGAGCAGTAAATAAATGACACTGTTTAAAGCAAAGTGCAGCTGAATAGAAAACCCGCAAGTGAGAAATGGGCAGTAGGAAGTGGAAATGTGAGAAAGCATTTAAATAGATTGGAAAGAGGGAGGGCTAATAATAACAAACAAGAGAAATATTTCACCCAGCACTGGGAAGAGGGAAGGAGGGAGCTGAGAAATATGGGTGCAAAGCAACATAAATCAAAGAAAACCCATAAAGCTTGGGGGGGGAATAATTAAAGACCCACAAAGTAAGGGTAAGAAATGGGATGGGAAGGAAGTATCAATGCTTCACTGCTTCTACTACGATGGCATTACTTAGTGCAAAATGTATGTGTTGTTATGTGCAGACACTACTCAGGTAGTAATCACAGAGCGTTTTCTACAGCTCCCTACATCCCAGTTTAAGCAGTCATTCCATTGCAGGCTCTCCTGTGGAATACATCAAGGGCATTGCCTGACCCCTATCCTTGTGTCCTTGAAAGAGAAGACTGGAAAAGCTTTGGGAAGCAGACTGGGGTCTGGCCAAGTCCCAGCCCCACACTATTCTTGTGCACTGTTGATACTGCAATCACGCTGTTGCTATTGCAATCACGGCCAGGGCCGCTGCGAGGGCTCTGGGCTCCAACCAGCACCACAGCATGGTGGGGGATGCGTGTCCTTTGAAGCAGAGAAAAGCCCAGGTTTTCTTTAAGCAAGGGATAAAAAAAGAGCTGGAAGAAAAGCCAGGGCAAAGGCAGCCAGGGTGGTGGGAAGTGCAGGAGGTGTCAGGAGAACAGCGTGGAGGAGTTAAAACTGCATCCCCAGGGACCTAGAATAAAAGAGAGGGGAGAACAGCATGGTGAATCTTGCTAAAGGAACTGGGCTAGGTGCGTGTTAACCCCATGTGTGTCACAAAGGATATTAAACAGTTAACAGAGCATGTTTTAAGACAGAAACCTTAACCCACTTCCAGCTTGGCAGTGGACAGCGTGTGCTTGTGCCAGAGCTTCGGAGCATGTTGTGCAAGGCCTGTTCCTTTTGTGTAACTGGAGCCAGACAAAGCGTGTTTTCAACCCGTGATGGGTTGGAAGTGGAGCAAACTGCCAGGTCCAGGGTGATTTTAACGTCAACTCTTCCCACTTTCCCCCTTTTCCCTTCTGGAGGGTGGCTCCAATCACAGCTCTCCTCTATGGTGTGGGGAGGAAACGCTCTGCTTCAGGGTTGATGCCTCCACAGGGAAATGAGAGGGCATGGGCCAAGGTGAGAAGGCAGAAGCCATGGGTAGAGCTCCCAGTGTTCCTGAGTCACACAGATGGTGCATGCAGGGCAAGCAGTCCAGCCCAGTCCCAGACAGCATCAGGCTTATCTGGTCGTGTCCTCTCCTCCTTCATTGGCAGGTCAGGGAAGGATGGGTTGCTTCATCTGGCTGTGCAATGGCAACAGGGTTGGATAAAGGACTGAAAGTGGGGAATCCAGAACTACAGGAGGAAAGGAAGACCTGTGTGTGATATTTTGCCTGTTCCACCTAAGGTCTTACTACTGCAGGCAGCTTGCTCTACTCTTCCTTTTCCCATAGCACATCTGGGTCTGCAGCTGACCTGGTACGCTCCAAACCCACCATGTCTGGTTGAAATATAAGGTCATTTGGGTAGACTTCAATCTCAGTGTGTCACCAGGACCTTTGCTATCCAAATGGGTGAGAAACCTGAGTCCTTTGGGGCCCTGGGCTACCAGCCAACAAGGAACTAAAGCTATTTTGTCACATTCCTTTAACATCCAAGGTCCTAAGAGGTAATTCAGTCCCATCAACCTGGAGGATCATGGGGATTTAACAAACAGCACCATCATGTGTGGAGTCAACTACTGTGATTCACATCCTCGCCAATGCCCTGCCTGAAGGGCTACATCCAGATGGGCTCAGCAAACAGGGCACAAGCCAAGCCCCAATGCCATCCGTGCCACTGGACCATCAACATGGCTTGGGCACACCCCGACCATTATTGTCCCAGACAGTGCCCTGACATGGGGCTGCTCCTTGCAAGCAATTTGGAGGTAACCAACTTGTTTGTAGAGGAAAGAGGTTGGAGTTATGGGTATGAATCATCCTTCTTGGATCCAGGGCCAAGGTTTATTACTGTATGGTGGCATCTCTGCAGCCAGGAAGGGGGATACTGGGGTCCTGCAGGGTGTGAAAGAAAAAGGGGTTGAAGAAGGGTATTAATATCCCTGGCAGTGTTCAAGGCCAGGTTGGATGGAGTCTTGGGTGACATGGTTTAGTGTGAGGTGCCCCTGCCCATGGCAGGGGGGTTGGAACCGGATGATCTTAAGGTGCTTTCCAACCCAAACTATTCTACGGTTCTATGATTCTGTGATGGTTGGGAGGAGGAAGAAGAGGTGAGAGAGAAAAATCAGAACCCTCTCAGGATCCCCCCAAAAGAATTAATGGGTTGATTCTACTCCTGCTCAAGGAGGACACAACTGGCCACAACTGTGTCTGGGGAGAAATGATCCTCACAGGTTTATTCCAATGCCTAAAGGGGCTACAAGAAACCTGGAGAGGGGCTTTGGACAAGGGCCTGTAGGGACAGGCCAAGGGGAATGGCTTTAACCTGCCAGAGGGGAGACTGAGATGAGCTCTTAGGCAGAAGCTCTTCCCTGTGAGGGTGCTGAGGCGCTGGCACAGGGTGCCCAGAGAAGCTGTGGCTGCCCCATCCCTGGCAGTGTTCAAGGGCAGGTTGGACACAGGGGCTTGGAGCACCCTGCTCTAGTGGAAGGTGTCCAAGGGTATTGGAACTGGATGAGCTTCAAGGTTCCTTCAACCCAAACCATTCCATGATTTTATGACTCAAGTGTGCACTTACAACACAGCTCAATTGACAGTTCCCACATCTGTCATTGGTTTTTGTCCGCGGTCCAACCCTCCTGATCCTCTTTCACTGTATGAGCAGTCAACATGCAGGCACTGAAGTGGGACACACTCTGCCACATGTTTATACTGGTCCTGATCTTCCTTTGGCAACCTCAGGCTGCGATAGGCATTTGAACTGTGCCAATACAAACGCTTATGAAAGAACAATTGAAAGCTTTTCCATGGAAGATTTTAGGCAGACTCTCCAGGAAAAGTAGGTGACAGCTCCCACGTTTGTCTTCACAACTGCCTCTGTGATCACTGTGGGGTTGTTGTGTTTGCTTTGGGGGGTTTCCTTGGATTGAACTTTCAGATCCTGGAGTTACACAGTGTTGTACACAGAGAGCAATCATCCGGACCTGCCAGGCCAGTGATACGTGGGAGAAACTCATCCACAACACAACAGTG